GAGGGAAGAGAAACACAGGGTGGAAGGAATAAAGTCAGAAAACCCCACAAGACAGAAAGGAAAAGAATAATGTAAAAATGGGCTGTGTTCTGGGAGCTGACTCGGCTTAGCTGTCCTTCGAAACATCAGTGAACGTCAGTCTACCTTGAAAATGGAGACAGCAGGTTTCTCCCGAACGTCACTAATTACCAAAGAACACGGCATCAAATCCAAGAAAACAAACTTTATAACCTCCGTTTGTGTTTTCTGATATTTCAGCTGGATGTGCGCCTCCCACGTTCAGATGTGGTCTCTTGAAGGTACCCTGAACACGGAGGAAGCATATTGCTCCGAAACATAGGCAAACACCTGCCAGCCAATCACACGGCAATGTTCATAGTCACTGACGTGAGAAAATATAATCTGAGAGAGAAAAACGCAAGTTAAGTGAAATTGATGATACCGAGAGCCGTTAAACAACTCGCATCCTACTCGTGCTGTACAACTCGCATCCTACTCATGCTGTACAACTCGCATCCTACTGGCACTGTTTATGTGTAGCATTATTACCGCATTAAGATTTAAAATGGCTTCCTTAATGGGAAATCTCAGCCATTCTTAAGTAATTGGCAAAAAGTGCAAGATTACGAAGGGCTTCGCTATTGTCTGTTAGGTGAAAAGCAAAATCAACATTCTGCGGGTTATCACAGCGGTGGTTATGAAGACTTCTATATTCTGGGATAGGTAACGCCGTGTAGTCCGGTGAAATTCAAAAGATATTTCGGAGGAACATATCGCGTCCTTCCACAGAGTGGCTTTACTCTTTGATCCTGACGATTAAGGCTGTACTTTCCTCCGTCTGTGAACTTATAGCTGACTACACGGCGTCATATCGCAGAAAATATAACTGCACAATAATCCTGATGGTATTACAACGGTTTGTGGCTGTAGCCCTGCTCGTTGCTTGCTGCAGACTGGTTTCTTACATGGCTTCTTACTTTTTAACACGGAATATTGAGGCGACATTTTCCTCTGACGCGTCCGTTGACTTGTTCCGGACTACAAGGCGCTATATCCCAGACGACAGAACTCTTCAAAAACCTGACACTGTCCCTGTGCGTAATTAAACACGATACTATTAAGAAGTACGAGAGAGTGTAGGCATAGCTCCGCGTATTCTTTAACATAGCCACTAGATGGAAATATCTAGTTAGCTTGAGGACCAGGTTGCTTTGCCCCGGATAGAAGGGTCCTCAGAATTTACTGGATAGAAGGGAAGGTGGGATCTTAGTTCCAATCTGGACTTCGGTTGAATTCCTTTTAAGTCCACTGTCAATGCGTTCATTTCGCGTTCTGACGCTCCGCTCGGCGTTCAGACGAGACGCGGCCAAACTGTGGCTCATCTGACCGAAACAGCTCTTTTCAACCCCTTTTCAAAAATGGTTTAAATATACTGTCACGTGATTGAGTGTGACTAGATACGGGATTTGAATTGATAATAGTATTTATTGGACACTTACAGAACGTAACTGCATGTAACCGACAGTCTCACTGAGTCACACACTCCAAAGATCACTCTAACTACAGCACATATAAAGTCTGCTCAGCCTTCACTAGCCGTTACTCCGTATGGAGGCGGGGTCGAATACCTCCACCGTGACCCTGCGAGTCGTAGGAGGCGACGAAAAGGGAAGTCTCAAATCTGAGACACTAGCCGTTGCTTGGTAACGGCTTACAATGGCGGGCGTGACTCTTCCTCTGGCACTCCGAAACTCTCCCGGCTTCAGCTATCAGCTTCTCACAGATGACTCTCAAATGACTCAACTTTTTTTTTCGTCACATTGCGACTGACGGTCAGTCAGTCAGTAAGTCTTGGTGTCGAGCCCCATCTGGGGCTCATGACCAGATATTAATTTTACCGTTTGACAGTTACGGTTTTATTTTCGTGGGGCGCCCTCTCTGACGAGAGGACGGGTCTGTCTTGTGCATATGCTGCTGGCCATTGCCAGAGCGATCTTTCTCGGGTCGGAGTCCCTTGGGACTCGCGACCATATTTTACTGTCTCAGATATGAGGCTTCCCTTTTCGTCGCCTCCTACGACTCGCAGGGTCACGGTGGAGGTATTCGACCCCCTGACTCAACTGAACTACTAGTCCTTGCTATATAACCCCGGCACGGACCGCACAGGAAACGTCCCGTGTTCTCTCGTTTCCGGGGAGACAACGTGTGAACTGAGCTGTTCCTTAGCAACGGCTGTTGTACTGTCGCCTGTTTACACAGTTGTTACTTGGCAGTTTGTGTACACGTCAGAATATCTAACCCGTTGTACGGAAGCCTCCATGAAGTACACATCTGCTGGCGAATCAGCACTTTATCAACCGCTCCGATGTGGAGTAAGTTTGGCCACCATTGATTCAGATTATAATTTCATAGCGAACAGAACTGAGATCTGCTATTCCTCACGAGAATAACAAGTCAATCAGTATGCGAAAGGAGCACCGGTCGAATTCGTTAGCAAGTTTCGTTTTAGTCGTACTAATGACGGTAACTAGGTCGGTTAGCGTGGCAGATACCGGCCGGCACGCTTAGACAAGGCTCTTACTCTGCATTATCGGTCTGGGTCACGGCTTAATGACACCTCCACCAAGCAACAATTTCTCTCGCTCAAACCAACTCATATTTCCGACACTAATTTCGAATATATTTCCAACAAATTAGAATAATAATCTTCCGTCTGAAGTACCTTACAGAACGTTCTCTGCGCATCTATTCCGTTGCCCATGAATTCTATTTTGCTTATTTCATAAAGAGAATTAGGTTCTTACTGTAACTGGATCAGTATGTGATCCTCATTAACAGCAACAGTATCGAAAATAAAAATTAAAAAATGTCTCTGTATTTCGACAGTTCTATGGAGTTACAGGAAAGGAAGTAAAGTTAAAAAAAATAGTATATCAGAACGATGGAAGTGAATTACAATTTTCTCCTTATTATAAATCTGAAGCAAACAGCAAACTGTGCCCCTGAGCACAATACATCTCCCTCGCTGACGTAATTAAACACTGGGTTAACTGCATTACTTCCCCCATGAGCTCACTGAATTTTTCAATTAACCTAATCCTTCCAGCCGCACTATGGCCCTGGGGTCGACTCGGCCTCTAACAGAACCTTCCTGGAGGTTTTTTTTTTAATTCGCATAGTGGAAGGTGAAGTCCAGCTGGGGCCACTCGGCACGTCGGCCATAGATTAGCCTACTGTGCCTTCCCCGGGTGATTATGATGATGGAATTTGGTGGAATGAAGATTGGCAGGGGAAACCGAAGTACTCGGAGAAAACCTGCCCAGCGTCACTTTGTCCACCACAAATCCCACTTGACCAGACCCAGGCTCGAACCCGGGCCGCCGCGGTGAGAAGCCAGCGACTAACCGCTTGAGCTATGGCGCGGCCTACCTGTGGGTAAAGGGCGGCCGGCACATAAGTTTGACAACCTTACCGCCATCTGTGAGCCGATTGTCTAGAAAATGTGGGAGCCTCGACGTCTCACAACCCTACGGGCCTCCAAGGCCTGTTGCAGGGATAGCTTTTACATCGCAGTATACACGTCTCAAGTTGGTTAAGTCTTCTCTTTGGAAGTCATGTAAAGTGACTTCGGCTGTCACTGTGTAACACGAAACACGAAGAATTGCAGCGAGCCACTTCATTCAACCTTGAAGACACGCAGAGGTTGATAAGAAAGTAGGCTATCGGTTGGCTTGAATATATGACCCCCCCCCGGCTTTATCATCAGCTAATGTATCGTTAACTTTATTTCATGTTCCAGTGCTACCAACACACCATCTATGGCGCAACAAATATACATTTAATTTAAATTTATGTAGCACCTTATTCAGTAACACTTCTTAATGATTATAACATTATATAAAAACATAAATCTGTTAAACGACGCCTATAAGCAGTATTTTTACTAAATAAGTTTTAAGATATAATCGGAAACAAAAATTGACGTGTAAATATTCAAAGGTTACAGCTCCTGTATTTTACCTTCTCACGAAAATATTCGTACAGCCCGGTGCAGGAAAACTGGAAAACTGAGGGGGAAACTCAACAAACTAGTTTCTTTTTAATACTGTATAATCCGTAATTTCCAGTTTGACGTACTATTAAGTTGAAAAGCGTCGTTAAAAGCAGGAATCAATTCTGTCTTTAGGCTACAAACATTGCATTACAGAGAACAAGATCCAGTTCTCCAGGGCATCTTGAATTCTAACGATTAAAGGCTATACACAGACTGATTTTCCTGACTGCGAAACGCTGTACTCCTGTGTGAACTCACCTACGTTCCAGAGAATACTGCTTCCATCTTCAGGGAAACAGAAATAAACCACTTATGCATGTGACTTGCTTGACAATTTCTTCGACCGTGAAGATGAAGACATTAGGAACATTTACAGGAAATATGTAGCACACAGGAGCCGGGGCAGCTCAGTCGGTACAGCGACTGGCTACGGGCTGGGCAACCAAGGGATCGCAGTACGATTCCCTGGTAGGGTCATGAATTTTCTCTTCTCCATGTCGTCCAAACCGGTTCTGGGGTCAACCCAACGTATCCAATTGGTACCGGGGGCTCCTTCCCAGGGGGAAAAGAGGCCAGGGCGTGAAGCTGACCACTCACCTCCAACTAGTGGCGAGGTCATAAAAATATAGATCCATTCATCCACTCCACATACGCCTTCATGGCGTAGTGCTTAATCAGGTAAGCACAGGGACAACTTTACCATCTTTACGCAACACACATTAAGGTTGGCGACACTAAGGGGAAGGCACAGGGTGCGGGAGGGTGTACAGAGACAATTAGCCCGATTGCAAGGTCTTTCACTACAAATTTCATGATTTCCAACCTGCGCCGCTGAGGAATTAGAGACCTTACAGTCGTTATGTTGCATGTTTTATGTAGCGCGCTGTCCGTGCACTGTCACGTGGACAGATAGCTGTTCCCCACGCTACCTTCAGTACAGCTCAAGCAGTCACAGTGCTTGGTGCACAGCACGTTGCCAACACCGCAAACGGCACCATTCCAGCGCTGTGAACTCCAGAAGGAGGATCATCCACTTGCAGACCCTGCTAGGGCTCTCCTGTACGCGGTACTTCGTAATATGCAATCTTGAACAGTTTTTAGTGCACTACTATTTATTATTACTCTACATGATTACATCATATACGTATTCAGAGCCAAGCGCACACTCCTTATCCATATTTTATAATAATAATTTATTATTGTTATTATTATTAAACTACACGACGCTCCCTTCGGATTGCAGCAAGTATGTGGAACTCTAATTCAGTTCTACATAAACAAGTTGGATTACTGACAGTAAGGTATCGCTGCAACAGGCCGTGGAGGCCCATAGGGTTGTGAGACGTCGAGGTTCCCACATTTTCTAGACAATCGGTTCACAGATGGCGGTGAGGTTATCAGCCTTACTTGCCGGCCGCCCTTTAACCCCCAGGAAGTTTCCTGGTACTCATTTCTGTTAGAGGCTGAGTCGACCACAGGGCCATAGTGCGGCTGGAAGGATTAGGTCAATTTGAAAAATCAACGAAATCATAGCGAATCGAACCCGCGACATTCAGGCTTGTAGCACAGTGCCTCAGCGAGCTACGCTAAAATGTGAGTGTTCCCAGCGCTGAACACGGAGACAGCGTCAGAACTGTTAGGTAAACAGATTGTGTGCCTCGCGAGTGAGGAAACTTTTGCTGTTACAGATTGTTGCAACTCGTGATAGCGGCATGGTGTGAGGCTCGAGATGGCGGTGAGGTTGAGGCATTGCTGCTGTGGTTGCTCCCTCAAGGAAGGAACAATAGTCATAGGGGTTATCTTCCTTGTAAGTAGAACGAACCGACAGAACACAACAGAGACACATCTCTGCATCTCCCGCACAGTGTTTGCTGTATGCAGCCCCTATCTGCCTGCCGTCTGCTTTGATGTTACAAGAAGCTCTGCACTCTGTTCACACAGTGGGTTCACGGCTCTGGTACTGTCAGGACCAATTACAGATTGTAGATACAAACATCTACAGCGCTATCGCTAATTTTTCTCAGTCTGTTTTACTAGCCGTTTCCTGGTAACGGATCGAACAATTCCCTTTGTTTACGTCCTTACCGTCTGGCAAATATCTCACAACAGACTCATTGCTGTAACTGTCTAACTGCCAGGCTGGCCGCCATCTCATACCAACCTCCTACTGTTCTCTTCATTGACTGACTAACTTATCAAAGTCAAAGTCAAATTCAACGCCACATTGTGACTGACGATCAGTCAATCAATAACTCTTGCTGTCGAGCCCCATCCTGGAGCTCATGACCAGATATTTATTACTGTTAGGCAGTTACGGTCTTGTTTTTGTGGGCGCCCTCTCTGACGAGAGGACAGATCTGTCTTTTGTATCTGCTCCTGGCCCTTGCCAGCGCAGTCTTTCTCGGGTCCGAGTCCCTTGGGAATCGAGACCATATTTTCCTGTATCAGATTTGAGACTTCCCTTTTCGTCGCCTCCTACAACTCGCAGGGTCACGGTGGAGGTATTCGACCCCCGACTAACTTTATCTCCCAACCTACCCCGCTTATATCTCGGCACGGATTGCACAGAAAACACCGCTCCTCATTGTTGTGGTTCAATCGTTTGCCTGGAAACATGTTTGTTTGCAAAGCCGTCACTCAGCAATGGCTCTTGTATATTTGCTTATTTGACGGTCGTTGCCCAGTAACGTGTCAACATGCTACATTAGTACACTCAGAATAAATAGTGAATATTTCCTTGCACAGAATTAACCGACTGGCTTTGTAGTGGGCACATGATATTATGTATGAAGTGGTAACTGGATTGTAGAATATTATTTACACGAATTTCATGCTGCAAATTGTTAGGACCGCTCAATATTCCACAGTGTATAATGCAAAGACTGTACGGGGGGACAAAGAAATATTTAAAACCTCTCCGTGCTACAGACGTACTTTTAATTGTGTGACGCGTTATATTAGGTTAGCTTTAGTTGCTTTAAATTGCTTTAAGTAAGGTTAAACTAATGAACACCATATATGAAAGTGGAGAGTGGCCCAAGGACTTTACAGAAGTTACAATGATTGCCTTAAAGAAAAAGATAAAAGCTACAAAATGCAGCGACCATCGCACAATAAGTCTTATTGCACATACAGCAAAGATACTAGCAAAGATACTTAAAAGAAGAATTGAAAGGAAAATAGAGGATGTACTTGGAGAAGATCAGTTTGGATTTAGAAGAGGAAAAGGAACCAGGGATGCAATTGGGATGATGAGAATTATAGCGGAACGAACTTTGGAGATAGATGAAGAACTGTGTGTTTGCTTCATAGACTGGCAGAAGGCATTTGACCGGGTAAACTGGACCAAATTAATGCAGATCCT